GCAGATAATTCCTAAGCCTCCTAGGTACAATCTGTTCTTGGTCAGAGTTCTCTTGAATCTTTTTTTTTTTTTCCTCTCCTGACAGGCAGTACTTTTCTTCCCATTTTGCTAGTTCCAATCTTTTGTTGAATGACTGCTTTAAAACTCACATTTTCTTTGATCCCTGTGGTCTAAATGGCTGCATTTTATAGACTCAGAGGCATTTAATGTCTGTTAAGGAAAATGGGAATAATCTCCAAATCCCTATTGCCTTTCCCAAATTATTTACAGATTTCAGTTAACTGAACAGAAGGACTTCATTCAGATATGAATAAAGGGAGCAATATGGCATTTTCTCAACATTTCATTTTTTCTTCTTGGTTCTTTTTACTTCCCAGCTGTTCACAGTGTCCTTTCTCTTACATCCAGACAATGCCAGCCTTACCAATCTTGGCAGAGAAGGGATATATGTCTCAAGAGGAAAACTCAGCTCTCTTCTGTCATTTGTTTTAAATTTACCTACCAAGCTCTGTTTCCTAGGATACTGGTCTCTCCATACGAAAATGATGATGGATACTAGAGGGTTCAGGCATTTTTCTCTTTGAGATACTTTTGTACATTAAAAACATGTTACATTTATAACATTCTGATTATAAGAATAATCTATGGTAACTAAAGAAAGTTTTGAAAATTGGGGAAGTATAATTTCTTTCCATCTTCTCTTTCTGCTTATTTTATTTTTACAAAATTATGATCCATATTGCTTATATAGTGTTAAATTTGAATATTTTCTACTTAACATTTTATTAAATATCTTAAGAGAATAAAAAAGAATCCTATAGGAAAATATTAATAAGTCTGGCCATGTAAAATTAAAATTCTTCAAGTAGAAAAAATGTTATATAAAAACAAGTAAACATCAGAAAACATCTGAAATCTATGATAGTTAAGAGAGCTGTAAACCAAATAGATAAAGAGCTCTCACAAGTAAAGATGAATGGCCGAATTAAAAACAATCACAGAACATAAGGAAATTTAATTTATAATGGAACAACACTCTAACAACATTCCTTTCTTCATTGAGTATCAGACTTAAAAAAAGATGCATTATTATTTCATTTGTAATTCTCTAATAATTGGTATTAATCCACTAATATAACCTTTATAAAAGGGATTGTAATAATGATTGGAACTTCAGACTAAATTCAGAGAAACTGTATTTTGGTGATAATTCTCTATTATCGCTTGTGAGTAGCTTATGCTTCTTCCTAATATGCAAGTTTCTTGATGTCAGGAACCATTTCTTTTTGTTTTCAGCATCTGTTCAGAACATGGGGATAATATATGTCCAATGCATATATTTGAAAGAAAGCTTGATATCATCAAAACTTTTAGAATCTCTCTTTTTATTAGTATTATATCAATTAAAGTGTGCATTTTCTAAATTATTATGAAATGGTGTCACCATGGAAACAGTTGCTGTTTCACTCTTTGCTCAAGGGAATTTAATATCTCATCTTCAGACTATGAGGCATGGGGGTGTGATTAGCAATATATGGGACTAAGGCACAATCAACGTGATGCTGCTTGTGTATCAGATTAAATTTTTTTGCTGAGTCATTATATGTGACCTGTAAGAGGAGATTTGGCAAGAGGACAATTATGAAATAGGCGGAGTAAGAAAAGAATGCTGGAAAGAGGGAGAGTGACCAAAAATTAATTTAAAAGTGGGGGAAATTTAGCAAACTCAGCAAAATGAAAGAACTAAAGCTGAGAAAGTATTACTAATGAGTTGTAAGATTTTGGCATCTATTCTGTTTTATGGACTCATTCAATGCATTCATGTCTCTTTGGGCCCAGATCCTGAGGTCACAGCTGTTCTTAGAAGCCATGTGGGTGGGAGCTGGGAAATTACCCAAATATGACAGCACTGGCTGACGTGTTGTTACCTCTGTGTCAAAGGTGATGGCTAGTACTGAGATGCTACCATAATGCTGCTGCAGCCTCCTAGGAAATTTGTGATGAGATTTTAGGATGATTTGGACAACAAAACATAACTTCTCACTTCTTTAAGTGTGGGCTGCACATAGTGACTTCTTTTCAAAACAATATGAAGAGGGAGAAAAAATTAACTTGACAGTGGAAAAACTTGACAGACTATCTCAGCTATATAACTAAGGTTCACATCAAAGGTGGTAAGTCACGTTGATAGTATCTACCCTTGATATGATATGGTAAGAACTGTACTTTACCTGTGTTCTTTATCCTAATCTTGGTCTAACCATGGACAAAAATCTCAATTGAGAGACTCTAAAGAATACCTGACCAGTACCTCCCCACAATGGTCAAAGTCAAAAAACAAGGAAACAGTGGGATCTCCCACCGGTGGGGATTGGCAGTCTTGCTGCTGAAACAGAGGGCTAATTAGACACCGGTAAATATCAAATTTTGAAAAACTAGAAAAAATGAAATAAAAAAAATCAAACTTGAAGTCACTCCTATATATAGGAGATTACTGCAATTTCAGAGTTGTGTTTGCCTTTTGCCTTTTTTAAAAAATAACTAATTGTTCTGATCTTAATTTTTATTTGTCCATAGAAGATGTCTTTAAATGTCACAAGAGTTGTTAGTAACACTTTTTATTTTCGAGCAAAATTGTATTTTCTGGTACTATATGATGCTAGAAAACAATACAAGTTTTACTTAAACTGGATAATTTTTTAATAAATAAATCGTAAGTAGAAGTCTAATTTTTTAGAGTATGTTTTCTGTTAATAAATATTAAATACAGTGTAGCCAATAATTTTTTTTAAAGAAAAAAACTTCTCATACATGTTCTTCCTCCCACTGTGCCTCTGGGTGTACTAAAGGCACTCCCTAATGAAAACTTCCAAAGTTTTCTTTTCATTCTGCAATGTTACGTGGAGGAGCCATTAATCAGGCTATGTTGATTTAGTTACATGCACTGGCCACAGTGTAATTTATCACTATAAGCCTGTGCTGTGGTCCCCTTTCCTGTTGTTTCCTGGATGTTTCCTTGCCTGTGTCAGCATGGTGATTGATTTTTTTTTACTTTCTCTAGTGTAAAAGTAGTAGACACATGTTTTTGCTGCCTATGCTTTGGTATTTTATGAACCATATTGAGAATGCACGTAAAACTAACAATTGAAGGAAAAATGGTTTTGTTAAAAATGTTAAGAAATCAGAATAATAATTTGTGATATAACCTATTAATATATGTCATCATTGGGACGCCTGGGTGGCTCAGTAGTTGAGTGTCTGCCTTTGGCTCAGGGGATGATTCCCAGGTCCTTGGATTGAGTCCCACATCAGGGTCCCCACAGGGAGTCTGCTTCTCCCACTGCCTCTGCCTATGTCTCTGCTTCTGTGTCTCTCATGAATAAATAAATACATTCTTAAAAAAAATATATATATGTATCTGTATCATCATTGTCCTTGAAATTAAAGTCCTCAATAGAAAGCCAAATCACCATTTCTATACTTCTACTGCTATGTGTATATTTAACATACAAGGAATATTAGATACAGATTAATCCCATTGGTTGTATTAATTGACCCAAAGCACTTATGCTTGTAGTTAATAATTTTTATCTTCTGAGATTTATGTTTTAAGATGAAGATTCTGGAGCTCATTTTAAATTTGGTAAGATATGTTATTGCAACTAAAAATAAAATCAATGTGATCTGACCAAAACATATATGAATAATGAATTTAAATAAAACAATGTGACAAAAGCAGTTAGAAAAATTCCTCCATATCATCTTGTCACAGAAAAATAATAACAAGATTTAAAAAGTTCATAGTGCTATTTTTTGGACAATAGAACGGATATGAAGCTAACAAAATACAGAAACGATTTTGCCCATCATGTTAAGTAATCAGCATATTGATATGCCATGAAAGCATGGGCCTCCAAGATCTCTAGGACTGGAAAGAAATTCCAAGGTCAATTCCTGCATCAACTCATGCAGGGCCTAAGACATCGCCATCCAATTTTTGCTTGAACTCTTCCAGTGAAAAGGTTGGTTACTTACTGAGAGCAGTTCTTTCATCTTGAACAACATGATGGATAGAAGTTTATAATGTTAAATAAAAATCTGTCTTCTTGCAATTTCCATCAGTTTTACCTGATTCTGCCTCAAGTGGGTAAATCTCATAGCCACAACAAAGTGAGGATCACATGGACTAATGTGTAGATTGCTGGGTGTTTGTTTCTCTTTTCTTTATTTCTTGAAACACAGCTTTGATTACATCATTCCCCAATACAAACATTTCCAATGGCTGCCCCGCTGCCAACAGAATGAAGTCCAATTTCTTTGATTTCTACAAGGGATAGTGACCAATATCTATCCCAAAATTCTGCATTATTTTTTATTGCTATCTTCACTGAGGCATTTATCTCTTTCTCCCTTGTATGTTAGTTATTTATATATATGTCAGCTTCCTCCCACTCCACAGTGACATCCTTAAGAGTAGTATCTCTGTTTGATATAATTTTGTATTCCTACAATCTCAATCTTACATGACACATTGTAGCTCTTCAGTAATAAAAGAATAAATCATGTCCTCAAAAAATGGACATGCTCCAGATGGCTTTGATAGAACAGAACACAATAGAACTATCCCTTCTCTTGTCCTTGACACTCAACTTCTATTAATGCAGCCTAAAGTTGCCTCTACTATTTTAACAGCTAAGTCATGCTGCAAGTTCATTCTGACCTTGCAGTCAACTCCAACTGCCAAATCCTTTCACATGAATTGCTGCTAATCCTGTAAGTATGAAGTGAAATTTTTTTTTTCAGAAATGTAGAACTTCATGTTTTTAGCTCTTAAATTTCTCCTTGTTTTTTCTGGCTCATGCTGTCAGCCTGTTGAGGATATTTTGACTCCTGATTCCAACATCTCTCCTATTAACTCTCTTGTCTTGTATCATCTAAAACATTGATAGTCATGTTTTCTCTTTCTTCATCCAAATATTAACCAAATATTGAAAACTTACTTGGCCAAGGGTGGAAACATGGGCATGCTAGCAGTCAGAGATCTCCTTCCAGATGGCAGCAGTCCAGTCATCAATACTTGTTTGGTACTGTCAATCAATCAGATAATACTATGTATAATAACTATCACCAGGTTTAGGAGTTTTTCACTCTTTCACCAAATCTCAGAAGAGATTTTGCTGAATGTCTTGTAGAAGTCACAATAAACTCCCTAATAAATTTTAGTGTTTGGAATAACCATTTATTAAAGTCCTTGAAAGTAATATATTTATTAAACACCTATTGAGTTTGAGGCTCTCTCCTACACATGGAACAAAACTTAACCTTTTTGAATACTATCAGTTCCAGATGTTATTATCCTGATTTTAAAGATAAGAAACAAAGTTTCAGAATGGTATATACTTATCAGAGACCTCACAGCTGGCAAGTGTCAGGACCAGGCTTCCAACCTAGGATCCAGCGAATACTATTCTAAGTCTGTCCTTAAGCCTTTTCTTTGCTTTAGTTCTTACATCCAGTCCATCAAGAGCAAGTCCTGCCAACCCCATCTCCAATATGTTTCCAAAATTCAATCTTTCCTTTTATCTCTGCAATATTCTGTTGACCATCATCTCTTCCATGGATCCTCTAATAGTATCCTATCTGATCTCTCTGTTTGTACTATTGCCCTTTATAGTCAATTCTTTACAAAACAACCAGAAAGTTCTTTTCATCCTAAATCAGATTATGCTATTCCTCCCCTTCAATACCCTCCAATGGCCTCCCATTGCACTAGCAAAAAATTTAAATGCATGTTATGGACCATATGCCCTCAAAAAATTAGGTATCTGATTATCCCTCAACTACTTGCTACATTACCTTCCATTTATCATATTGTGGTCACACTGGGTTTTCCTGACAACCCTTACATATCACCAAGTTTACTTCTTCCTAAAAAGTTCTTCTAACATATTCTTGTACATCTGGTTCTATCTTAGATCAAGGGCTCAGTTTAAATATTCTCTCTTCAGAGAAGAGTTCTTTCCCTCTCACCTATCTTATTTGTGTCTTCCTAATTCTATTATTTTGGTGTGTTATTCACTTCTCATATATTTAGTTAAAATTATTTTGATTTATTGATACCTTTTCTATAAAAAAAAATTTCCCCTCTTAAATAGGAATTCCATGGGGGCAGAGACTTCTATTGTATTTTTCAGTACTACTTCCTCCAAACCTAGCTGATAGGAGACTGGGGAAATATGGGTTAAATCAATGAAATAATTTTTTGATTTCATAATTAGCTGAAGTAAGAAGTCTTCTGAAAAAGCAAGAATTTTCCTAGCCATGTATATAGTAACTTAGAAATAAAGGTAAAAAATAAATAGTGTGGAATTAAAAAAAAGAAAGAAGCACATTTCATACTAATAACTTAGGAATACAAATGAAAGTAAAACCACATTGGGAAGGAATGTACTTTCACACATCCTGACAGTATTTTTCAATTTAAGATGTATCATTTCTGGCACATGAATTAGAGGAAATACCTGTGAGTGACAGTGATGGGTATGAATAGAAATATAGACAAAGGTGTGAGGGTGCTTTATTTCTTGTAAGAGAATATTTAAAATCTTTCTTCAATAATTTATGCAAATTTATCTATAAAGCTAATGTTGTATAACTTAACAGGCATTAATATCAGTGGTAATATCTCTCAAGTGATTTTTTATTTAAGCTAACTAAAAAAAAATCTCTACACTTAACAAAATCATGTTCCATAATTCCAGGAGTTAAAGAGAAAATTAGTTTTATTATACATAAAAAGGCTTAAGTTTATGTAAATATGCAAAAATCTTAAACATAACTTTATAGCGAATTATTTGGTAAGCTTCTACACATTACTCAGTATATTATTTTAGTATATGAGCTGCCAAAGTGAGCACTGCTCAGTATATTATTACATTTAAGAATTTATGTTCATAAAATAATTTTACTTTCATTGGAAGGATTTTAGGGGAAAATTTGAACACGTTTTCACAAATAGATATTTCATTATTCAAAATCAAGCATAAATATGTTTTAAAATAAATAAATAAATAAAATAGGTTAAAGGAGGGAAAAATGTCTGGAACATTAAAAAAATTGTCTGGAGCAGAGATTCCCATTTTTAGAGTCTGGGAAGGTGACCTTTGAGCTTAAACTTCAGTGGTGAGAAGAAACCAATTCTATCCACTTCCTGGAGAAGAGTCTTAGAGCCAGAGGGCCAATGAGCAAAAAATGCTAATGGGAGAATAAATTTGATTTGTTTTAGGGATAAAAGGAAAACTGAAGGGATTCTTTTTTTTTTTTTTAAGTAAACTCCACAACCAGTGTGGGGCTTGAACTCATGACCCTGAGATAGAATATTTAAGTCATACAAACAGAGGATTCTCTAACCACCACTGAATTAAATTAGAAATCAATAACAAATATATGTGGCAAATCCCTAAATATTTGTAAATTAAACACATTTGTAAATAACCCATAAGCCAAGGAAGATATTACAAAAGTAATTAGAAAACGTTCTGAATTAAATGAAAAATTTAAAAAATATTGTGAGATGTAGCTAAATTAGTATTTGGGAGGAAACTTTATAGCTTTAAACTTAGTATTAGATATGAAGGATGATTAAAATCAATGACTTTAGCTTCTTCCTGGAGAAACTAGAAAAATGAGAAAATTCAATGCAAATTAACATAAAGGAGGAAATAAAAAGATAATAGAGATCAATAAAGTAAAATTTAAGGAACAGTAAAATAATCGATAAAAATTAATGAGACAAAATGTGATTCTTAGAGATGATCAGTAAAGCTGATACATCTCAGTCCAAACTAATCAGGAGAAAAGAGAAAGAAGATAACAACGTACTAACATCAGGAATCAGAGAATGCACATCATTTCAGATCTTACAAACATTAAAAGGTTAGTAAGGTAATATTATTGCCAAATTATGACCATAGATTTGACAAATTATATGAAATGGGAAATTTCTCCAAAAGATAAAAGCTACCAAGCTGACTCAGATGTATTCTTTTTGGGGTTTATTTTGTCCTATTACAGAGGGGCTTCCATCACAGGGTATGATGCTGAGTATTTGTGCTTCTCTTTTCTCTCTTTCCGAAAGTAAAACATAGCTTTTTTTACATGTCAGTACCAAAAAAGAAAAGAAAGAAATCTTAGAGGAGAGTATGTAACCTTTGGCAATTACAGTGGCCATGGCTGGGCCACTCTTTTGGCCAACAGGCTAGACACAGTGATTGGCAGACTCTCAGAGCCACAAGGAGTGGGGGAAGGCATCCCTAAAAAGGGCCTGGTGTTATCGAAGGAAAGAGGAGAGACATGTTTGGTTGGCAAAACCGACATATGTTCCAAGATCTGTAATTAAGGAACTTTGTGGGAAAGTGCAGAAGACTACAAAGATCAAGTTTGAGCAATATCAGTTGAAATTGAGTGGTTTGTTCGTGAGTCAGACAATAAAGCATCTTGTTTCTCTAGTGACTGGAACTGAAAAATCCATTACGGTGATCCATAATAAAATCAATCTCTTTTTTATTTATCATAGTAAATAATTGGGGATACAAACACACAAGCAAACAAGCAAACTTACATGGCCACTAACATAGATAAATGGTTATAAAAACATAATGATTATACTGTACATAAGTGGAATAATGATTATCATATCACTGCCCCTTGTCATTTCTGACATCTACTAATGCCTGGATCAGCTGTATCACTGATTTTTTTTCCTGATTCATTGCTACTTTCCCTAAATACTATTACTACCTTAATTCTTGTTCATTTTAATAAATATGACAATAATACCTTCAGTACCTCACCTCATGTATATCTGAGCCAAGATTTGATGGATGCCAACTGCAACAACCACTGATTGTGTTTCCTTAATGTTCCTTTAAAAAACTGTCCTGCATCCAGGTAGGGGGTAAGCTGTTCTACTACAGTCCATTCTGAAAGCGACATTGCAATATCCATAGGATGGCTTTCTGTGTTTCTGATGTCTCAAAAGTCATGCTTCTTTAAAGATGTTGAGGAATTTCCAATGTAATCTATAGTTCATAACTCTTAACATAGAGAAAGAAATATACATGCATTTACGTAGTGTGAATAGCTTACAAGAAATTTTCATAACAATTTCTTTTTCACAAGTGATGAAATGGAAACAGGTGACTCTTGTGTAGAAGACCCCTTCTCAGTCTCAGCACTATTCACATTTGAGGCCAGATGATTTTTTGTTTTAGAGAGCTTTCCAGTGCACTGTGAGATGCTTAGCCGATTCCCTGGCCAATACCCACTAGTGCTCTCCCACCACTGCTCTCCCATTTGTGATAAGCAAAAATGCGTTGGTCAATCGACAGATATCTTCCGGGGGGCTAAATTGCCCCCAGTTGAGAACCACTGGTCTAGAGGCTGATATAGCTATAACTATAATCATCTTTAACTGTTTATTAGTGGGAACTGAAATGTGTCTTATAAAAATTGTTACCTGAACCTGAAAGAAATTTGACGCACTGAACCAGATGGATACAGAGACTGGGTATTTCTTAGCATCGCTCCAGTGATGTAGGTCTCTGAAAATAATGACATTGTTCTATAACCCAAAGGCCGATGCTCAATAACTTTGCTGAAGTTCCGGATTGAAATATGTGTGTGTGTTGACTAAACAAGAGAATGGCATCTCTAAACAATTTATTTTTAAAGCTTTGTACACTCAGTCCAATGATAAGTTAGATTCTCTCCAAGAATTAAAAAATGTATTTCTTGTCTGACGTGAAGTACAAAATGAAGAATCACCAGAGAAAATGCAATGACCGGACCATTCAGCCCAGCCCAGCCCAAATAAACACTTTTATTTCCTCTCTTTTTCTAAAACAAACAGCACTCAACCAAAAGTTTATCTTTTCTTTATTTGGAATTCTGTTGTGGTGCTCCCATCACACAGCAAAAGTGCAATGTTAGTGAACAAGCATGCCTCAGTAGAGGCACATAAGGCATTGATTACAAATGAATTCCAAATAATTAGTGGAGGAGATCATGAAATGTTCAGAGGGGGAAA